GTTTTTGGCCACCAAGCCTATACTCTGTCTGCGGTCTTTTTGCCCTTCTCCGATCTTCATGACTTTGCATTTGGTAGGGTTAAATTCCAGGAGCCAGTTCTGGACCAGGCTTGCAGCCTGTCCGGGTCCCTTTGTAGTCCTGCCTGAACCTCGTCCGATTTAAATCTCCTCATTAACTTAATATCATTAGCAAAAGAGACACTTCTGAGTCTATCCCTTCCGTCAAGTCATTTACATATACCAAAAACACCACTGGTCCAAGAACTGACCCCTCTGGAACCCCGCTCATCACTGGCGCCCACTCTGACACCTCCTCATGTACCATGACTCCCTGTCAGGTATTCTCCGATCCATTGAAGTGGCTTTCCTATTATGCATTTCTAATCCTCTAGCTTTTGTACTAATCACTTGTGAGGAACTGTGTCGAAGGCCTTCTTGCTGTCCAAGAAAATGCAATCTACCCACCCTTCTCTTTCATGTCTTCTGTCACCTTGTCACAAAACTCCAGTAGGTTTGTGACAGAGGATGTCCCTTCCCTGAAACCGTGCAGGTTGTCATTTATAAGCATGTTCTTTTCTAGGTGCTCCACCACTCTCCAACTGATAACCTCCATGACTTTGCATACTATACACGTCAGTGACACTGGTCTGTAGTTTAATGCCTCATGTCTATCTCCTTTCTTAAAAACTGGGACTACATTTGCTGTCTTCCATACCTCAGGTAGTTGCTCATTTTGAATGGATGTGTTGAAGATTGTTTCTAGTGTCAATCACCCATAACTAGTAACTTTGCCCTTACCCGTGTGAGCTCTTCTGGCCACCTCAGCTAGTGTGTCCACCATTGCTCTGTTGATCTCTTCATATTCCTCTCTTGGCCTCCTTCAGTTCTGTGGCGGGTTGTACATCACTGCAATTACCAAGTTAGGGCCACCAGACTGAATTGTTCCTACTATGTAGTCCCTTTTCCCCATTTCGTCCATTCCTTCCATTTCCTCAAATCCTCACCGGTTTTTAATGACCAGTACAACTCCTCCTCCCCCTCTGCTGCCTGTATCTTACTTCAGGGTCTTTTATCCGGGTTGAAAGATTGCATCTGTTATCCCGATGAGTTTCGTTTCTGTGAGTGCTATGATGTCTGGGGCCGTCTCCTTGATTCATTTCACTCCTCGCATTTATTTGTAATTCTGTATACCTAACGTTCAACTTCTTTTCATGGACTTTGTATGCTGACAGTGTCAAGGAGAACACAAATAATGTTACGGAGTACCAATTTGTCACGTTGGTAGAGCGAAGAAAAGTAATCTCAAAGGAAAATTAAATTCTTAGTGTCCGAGTACCATTGGTTATGTTCAAAGTGTCAAAGCGAACTTACAATAATTTCAAGTAATTCCTACGCACTAGTGAGTTTCATGGAGTATAGGGAACTGACACTGATTACTTAATAGTCAGTGTATTACTGACCTGCTGTATTGAAATTTGAGCAAGAGAACAGATGTGGGAATTATGGGGATGAAGTTCACAGGCACATTCCTGAAATATTTCATCCACATAATTTAAGGGGGGGAGGGTACAATTAAGAACCAGTTTATTGAGTTTACTAATGTTAGTTGTACTTCAAAGCACTGTGGGATTTTAGAGACACTAGACTGCACTATGCCTCTCCTTCCAGACCTTGCACACACTTTCCCACCCATAAGTAAAATCGGGCCTATAAAATTTTAAATGTATGAAAAAATTAACACTGGTAAATTATATAGTGGACTGTATAAATTTTTGAGGACTTGATCTCCAGAAATGGTTAATTAGAATACTAGTAAACATAGAAACTGGGTAAGATTTCTCATTTCTTGGATATTTTCACTAATTACAAATATCAAATTTTAGATATAGCTTACCACAACTACATTAGCTAACTCACACTGTAATGCTACCCTATCAGAATATATACATTGGCCAAGGCATACATGTGATGTGTGCTCCACAAAATATTTAGCGTTCTCTCATTTTTCATCATACAACCATACTGTCACTGTCTCACTCAATATTGGTCCATTAACCACATCGGAGAATGCTAAATAAACATCTAATCCTTGATTCCATCCGATAAACCCATTTTCAGCCTCAATAACGCCGGATTGTTAATACATTATGAGGAACTATAGTACTACATCGCCATATTGTCAGCGTCTCTCCCCGTGTATCACTCCGCAGCTGCTGCACCCCCCCCCCCCCCCCCCTCTTTCTCTACAAGCTTCTAGAAGCCCAAATCAGACTCAATTTTACACACACATTCAAATTTACACATTCTAAATTAAGGATAATTATGAAAATTTCCACAGATATGAAGGCATAACAGCCCAACTAAACCCTCAAAGGATATTTGTAAAGATCCTTGATACTTATGCAAAGGATAAAAATGTAATCACTTTATGTAAACTTAAATATGAAGCTGTCGTAGTGTGAAGGTTTAACTGGCCTTTTAGACCCTCGAAGAAGGAATGAAACGACCATTCCTCATGAAAAGGAAATATGGAATCATAAATTATAACAAGAATCAAATTATTGACAATAAGCATAAACTTTTAACAATGTAAAACAAACATGAAATATTCTTAGTTGAAGCAAATAATGAAAAATGTAGAAATAATTCTCGTGAAACAAAGCTTTTATGTACAGTGGACAGATGGTGTTCTGATGTACCAATGATGGCGGTAAGTAGCTCAGGATTCACTTGGGGGTTTTGAACGAGAGGCTGGTGTGAGACATGATAGTCGCTGGTGGACATGACTTACGAAGTTCTGCCTGAGACAGTACAGACGCAAATATTCCCCCACAGTGAACTGCAAGTGGCATTAGGAATTATTCTTCAGATCGGTGGAGACCACAGATGATCAACTACTAAGCTGCCGTCTTTTCTCGGTAATGTCGAGTGACTGACATTAAAATACCTAAGTCAGATCAGGTCTGGTTGAATTAATTAAATACCCAAAACACAATATAATAAATAAGAGTGGAACTGACAGACTTTTTCGGAGCAGACAGAAAATTAACGTCAATTCGACTTGAGGGTCCCATGTTAACTCCCACCGGGAGATGGGAGATGAGGCAACTATGAGCACCTCTTGCTGAACAAGCGTTCAACCCGTTGTACCATTACCACCACTCATTCATGATTCCAACCTTATTTAACTAAATCTTCCCTCACACCTAGCTGATACAAAATATGAAAAACAAAATACATAAAATAGTCATGTGAAACTAAGCTAATGTTCGTATATACAAATATATTCGGGTAAAGGACAGATATAACGATGTGCAGAATGAACGTTACACGTAGTTATCAGGAGTCACGATATTGTAGTGATGTTTAACCGTGAGTAGACAACGGGGTAAGTCGAAACCCTGATTTACAGTATTCTGAAAAAGGCGTCTGGATATGATGAAAAAACCCGGATGGTAATTCCAAAGTGTCCAACAACACTTATATGGTATCTAAAGGAGGTGAAAGTAAATGCAATCACAGATCTCGTGACTAAATCTATCTGCCCTTTTATCTTGAGTGCGTTGAATGACACAAGTCGAGCCATAAGGCTAAAAGACAAAAAAATAAATAAAAGTTAGAATCGACGGCAACAGTAACTCGCATGCTAAGTAGAAGGCTCTTAAAAGAATTTGTGAGCGTGTTCGATAGGAGTGAATGGAGACGAATGGCATTTGGGACATGACGATCTGATGGAGTGTGAGCAGGGTAATATTTAGTGAAGAGATTCAGGGAAGCCGGTTATTTTTATATAGCCGGACTTGAGTCCTGGAAATGGGAAGTACAATGCCTGCACTTTAAAGGAGGGGTTTGGGATATTGGCAGTTTGGAGGGATATGTTGTGTATCTTTATACGTATATGCTTCTAAACTGTTGTGTTCTGAGCACCTCTGCAAACACAGTGATTATGTGTGAGTGAGGTGGAAGTGATGAATAATGATGAAAGTATTTTCTTTTTGGGGATTTTCTTTCTTTTTAGGTCACCCTGCCTCGTTGGGAGACGGCCGACTTGTTGAAAAAAAAAAATAATTATTAGACCCAAGTCAGATCAGGTTCGATTACAGTGACATAAAAGCCCAAAATATCGAATAAAAAAAAAGGAATGGAATTCCATACTTACAGACTTGATGGAAACAAAGTTGAATGGATTAAAACTCGCTAGGAGGATCCCTTGTTAACTTTCACCGGGTGGAGAAAAAAACAATGGGGGAAGGAGGGTAGAGAGGTAACGATGCCCGATCCTTACTTAATAAACATTCACCCATTTATACCTCCACCACCATTCATTCATTCGTTCACTCTCATCTAACGAACTTTTCCCTCACAACAGACGCACGAAACACAGACAGCAACAAAAAGAATATTAGAGCGCAGTCTGCAATTGCAAAGGCTTTTACTGGTGCGTCATTCAGATAAAGCTTCTGAAGGAGACGGCTTCATACTGTGCCATCAACTTTAATTTACGTGATGTAGTACAATCAACAAATTTTTAATTTTCTTCAATATTAAAGATAATATTTACTTCATAGGTTAAATTTGTTCTATAGCTCTGGCAGGATCAGCGTCAAGAAAGAATAAACTTAGTTGGTAGATCACTCATCTAAGACACAGTGTCCGTGGTTCGATCCCAGGTACGGGTGCCAACATTGGGCGTGTTTCCGTATATCTGTTGTCCCTTTTCGCCTAGCAATAAGTAGGTACCTGCGTGTTACACGACTGGTGTTGGTGGCATCCTGGGGGATAAGGGTAGTAATCCTCAGATAGGGCTGAGACTCAGAAATGAGCTAAGGCAGGATAACTCTCAGCCTGTAAAACTGATGTGTGTAAAATAGAGTATGTGGAAAAGTATATCATATTATTAAAGTGAACTTATTTCAAATTGTTTTTGATATATAGTATATATTTTTTGCCATGTGGGCCTAATAAGAAAAAGCACACTCATATATACTAGCCTCTGACAGTTCCTGGGGCGCCGGCAGCTATCCATGCCTTGGCCACTGGTCGAGACTCTGTGATGGTTTCCTGGCTGCCGCCTCCTCGTCCTAATGGAATCCTCACTCACTACACTCTCTACTATCGTCCGCTCAACGCTCCGCAGGTAAATATTGCACGCTTTGTGCTTCACCCATTCCCAGAATAGTTTCTACTCAGTTGTTGCTGTCAGGAATATATTAATAGTTGACTCAATATTTTTTCTTCTCACTCTTCAGAATACCATCATATTGCCTATTATTTTGAATAACACCGAAAATAGCAAAAAAAGTACATATCTCAGATGATTTATCATTTATTCAGGGGTGTTTATACTTCATAAAATTATGAGATATGCTTGAGAAAATTACATGAAGAATCGTTATATCAAGTGATTTTCATTTATTATCTGTCTTGCAATATGACAAATTCACTCCATTAGGAAAATTATCTTCCATTATAGTCACTATAACAAGAGTCTTGCACTATATCAAGGGACTTGGGTTATATCGAGTTTCCTCCAATATTGCAAAGGTCTTTCAATAGCAGACGTCATATAATGGTCAAATATATTTTCATTCGTGTACCTAGAAAGGATTCCGGGGGTCAACGCCCCCGGCTCGGTCTGTGACTTGGCAACTTTATACAAAATTAGTTTGTCTTCTTCGGAATTATAATTTGAAGAAGATATGGAAATGCCGAAGTCCAGCATCCTCTTCATAAATCATGAGAATGGCTTCGTTTTTATTATGCTGCTCAGTTTTTTCTATATAAAACGTACATAATCACGCAGTTATGAAAATATACAGAAGCATTATCCACGAAAATAGGTGAAAGGCATTTAATTAACAATCTGGAAGGGCACTGAATTTGCGGAAATTTGAAGCATGCAATAAACAGATATATAGTTCTGAGCATATCTAAACAAGAATGCAATGAACCTAAGTTAGATAAGCTTATATTCAGAAGGGATGTAAGTGAGTGGCCTCAGAGATTTACATGAAAAACCCCTCACTACTAAGTAACGTCAATGAAGTGAATATTTTGGGTGGTTTTGAAAACAGACTGGACAATTTCATTGATGGGAATTTATTGGAGTTAAACAGGCCTAGCATAGGGTAACTGGGTGCATTAATGCCTCATTCCTATATTCTCAGCTAATTTTATGATATTTTAGATTAACTGACGTTAGGGTAGATTCGTTGGGTTAGATTTAGTTATGTTAGGCTAAGGAAGATCTAATTAAGTTAAGCTAGGTTAAATTAGTTTAGGTATGAATAGGAAAAATTAGATTAGGTTTGCTTAGGTTGGATTTGATTTGCTTCATGATTAGTTAGTTCAGGTTAGGTTAGGTTAGAGTAATTAACGTATATTGAGCATATATTACTTATATTAAAACAAGTGCTATCACACTTCTTGCAGTACAGGCAGAGCAAAACATCGAGACACATTTAAATCTTCAAACATATTACTAACTGTGGGAGAGTGAAATACTCAGATCACCTGGAGTATCTTTCTAGTTATATCTCTAATCTCTCCAGTTACATCCCTTGTCTATTTACTTTATCATTTATTTCCTTCATTACTATTCTAGGTAGTTTTCTCCCTTTTTACCTCACTGGTCATCACCCAAGTTAGTAGTAAAAAATACCTTTCAGCAAAGAATGTATTTTTTTTAAATAAAACGCTTTATCAACACAACACTTTATCAAATCCTCTTGAGAGTTTGTTATTTTGGTGAGTTATTTTAATTGCTTTGGAGAGGAGTGCAGTGATGGTCATGGCTTTCTGGAGACGGTAATTATAGGATATTACTGTAATTCTAGTGAGAAGTATTAAGTGTCACTCAGAGGTTCTGCCTTTTTTTGGGGTTCAGTTTGATGTTGTACATAGGAGATGTGAGGCTTGAAATATCTTTTTCGCTCTATATTTGCCCATTTAATTGGATTTCACTACTGCAGATAACTGTAATATCAGCCTGTTATTTTTTCCTTTGTGCTGAGATCGTATTGGGATTATAAATGAATCGGGCCATCCACGTTGGTAGGTTTTTCACTGACTTTTAATATGAAACAATAGACCTTTTCTTCTTGTAAAGGGAATTTAATTAAAGGCCCAACCTGGTTGAGTTGATCTTCGTTAGTTACTAAGGTACAGGGTAAAATTTCCAAGACGTGGTCATTAAGCCTCAGCAGGAGATATAACCAGGAGTTATACTCAATATGTGAGCTGAGTTGACGGGTGGAAACTTTAGGACGTGTTTTAAGACACCTGCCGTCCATTGTTCACCTAGTAGTAAAATAGGTATCATGGTGCTAGTCCACTGTTGAGGGTCATATCCTGTGGACAAAACTAAATTTGCACGAAATACCCTGCATAACAATGGACTTTCTAAATAGTAGTGTCACTGACGTCAGCTAGGCCTGTATACCTTGTACATATACTTGTAGAAATATTATTATTATTATTATTTCTTTTGTCGGTGCTTCAGGTAAAATGTTAGCTAAAACTGCACTGAGCGGAAAGCTTATTTCTGTGCCGAATATCTATTCTCAAAGGATAATAGGTTAAAGTTGAGACACAGTTGACGAGGTTAGGAAGCATTTTATGGGGAAATGAGCCAAGGAGTTTCCGTTGTCAGAATTCTTGATAAATGATATCACTTCAGTTCAAGAAGCATGGGTGAATACCACGGTTACATCAAGACTGGCTAGTTTATTGCTTTTGATGGTAATATCGTTAAGTCAAAAGAACTCCCCAGTGTTTTTGAGATATGATGAGCCAATGGTGTCTAATAACTTGGAAATGTGTTTGAAAAGAACCTGCGTCAAGGAACAGGACAAGCGTTTCCTAACGAGGGTCGTAGTCATATAATGACCCACCACTGGTCATCTGACCGAGGCCTTCCGCTGGTTTACATGTGTCGTAGGGGTTCGTAGATGAATGATACTAGTGTAAAGTATCTCTGTCCGTTCTGCACGTTGTTTATTGAGGGATTCTGCCAGCTTGGTACACCACACATCTGACGCTGACCGTCTCTAAGCCATGACTCACTGAGAATCTCCCAATGTGCTGGAACGTAAGCGTTAACAGCTAGTTAGTATACACTGGTATACAACTGATACCCATCCCTCTCTTTAAAAATTAAGATTATAAATAATCTTAATTAGGCTCTGGATTAACAGTTGTCATTTTCTTCAAAATGGTTCGGTGATATATTCTTTATAGATTGTTTTCATATTTTTGCGCATTACGTTTGTTATTCTTTTCAGGCTACAAGGAGCATGGTGGTAGCAGCGGATGCTGGTGCTTCTCCATGGATGGAGGTGAGCAGGGAAGTGGGGCTACTGGATTCCCACGTCCACTACGAGTACTGGGTCACCGCCTCCACCCGTGTGGGCGAGGGCGCCGCCTCCACCATTATATCCAAGACGCCGTCATCAACAGGTAATTCTTGTGATGTCATGTTCATCAGTGATTTTGGGGGAGAAAATCCTGGCAATATAGCAGCTAAAGAACTTTTTTTACGGTTAGATAATAATTTTCTTGCTGGTCAGGGTTATTCAAGCCGGGCAGCATGAACGATCCCGGGGTACAAACATGAACGATCCCCGGGGTACAAACATGAACGATCCCTGGGGTACAAGCATAAATGATCCCTGGGGTACAAGCATGAACGATCCCCGGGGTACAAACATGAACAATCCCCGGGGTACAAACATGAACGATCCCCAGGGTACAAGCATAAACGATCCCCGGGGTACAAGCATGAACGATCCCCAGGGTACAAACATGAACGATTCCCGGGGTACAAACATGAATGATCCCCTGGGTACAAGCATGAACGATCCCCAGAGTACAAGTATGAACGATCTCCAGGGCACAAGCATGAACAATCCAAGGATACAAGCATGAATGATCCCTGGGGTACAAGCATGAACAATCCCCAGGATACAAGCATGAACGATCCCTGGGATGCAGGCATGAACGATCCCCATGGTACAAGCACGAATGATCCCCGGGGTACAAGCATGAACGATCCCCGGGGTACAAACATGAACGATCCCTGGGGTGCAGGCATGAACGATCCCCATGGTACAAGCACGAACGATCCCCGGGGTACAAGCATGAACGATCCCCGGGGTGCAGGCATGAACGAACCGCAGGGTACAAGCATGAACGATCCCCAAGGTACAAGCATGAACGATCCCCGGTGTGCAGGCATGAACGATCCCCGGGGTACAAGCATGAACGATCCCCGGGGTACAGGCATGAACGATCCCTGGGGTACAAGCATGAATGATCCCCGGGGCACAAGCATGAACGATCCCCGGGGTACAAGCATGAGCGATCCCCGGGGTACGAGCTCGAACAATCCCTGGGGTACAAGCATGAACGATCCCCGGGGTACAAGCATGAACGATCCCCGGGGTACAAGCATGAACGATCCCCGGGGTACACTAGTATTTTAAACTATTCTTTAGAAAAAAACAATATTTTAATAATTCTATGTAAAAACTACATGACGGTAAATTATGGAGTATATTTTGAATTTAGGACAAACAATCAGCCAAACTCACGTTGAAACCAATTAAATTTATAATCGCTGGATATTTCTTACGAGTTCAAAGAAGAAACAAAAGTCTCGCTGAACTGTTTATTTTTTATGCTAAGACTAAGAAATTCACAAGTTTTGTTAACTTCTGCCAGCTGGGAAAAAAACTTGGATACTTTTGAATATATACATTTTTTCTTATTACTGGAACACATTGTTTGGTTAAACAACTCTACTAAAAAAAGATGTCCGTTTTTTTATATTTTGGATGTTAATTTTTTTTTTTTTTTTTTGGTATCAAAATTTTTGAGATGGGGATGCGTATGTCTTGATAAATTTGGTCTGCGGTGCATAAGCTAGTAAAGGATGGACAACTTTTACATAAAATTTTCTGATAAAAATTAGTCATTTATTTCCCTTCGAAAAGTGAAAGAATAAATATTCTTTTTCAATTATCTTTAAATATTTTTTTTCATTTTCTTTTTGTACAGTTCCAGTAAGGATCAGGTCATTTGGGCAGACGGTGGAGGTGGAGGCTGGTTCCTCCTTCACACTTCCCTGTGCTGTGGTGGGCTCTCCAGCACCTGCTGTCACCTGGACACACCTCGGTCGTGACACAATTCCCCAGACACAGGTATTAATTACTAGCTCTCTACTCTTTTTTCATTCATTTCATACCTTATTACTATAATCTTCCAGCTCCTGGTTTATCAGATTATCCTACAAACGAAAATTTCACATTTTCGTCAATGTGACATTATAACAAGTCGTGATTATCAACACGATGGATTCCACCAGACTCATCTGTTCACTGTTTTACTTCAGACAAAATTTTCCCTTTAGTGTCATGAGCCTTTAATGATTTCTCATCACTTTATCAACGTCTCTCGTGATGACTTGAGCCAATATACCTGCATAGTACTCATCAGTTATATTGCTCAGGTTACACTCATCAATTACATTACTCTGGTGGCACTCCTCAGTTATATTACTGGGCATGTGCAAAACTATTATACTATTTGTGTTGTACCCATCCATTATATTTTTTTGTGTTACGCACATCCATTATGCCTGTGTTGTACATATCCTATGTATAATGTTCTGTATAATTATATAATGGATTGTATGACGTATGAATGATAGTGTGAATGACACTATGTATGAAGGGGTGAATAACTATGAATGTTGAACTTTATGGTTATGAATTATGGTATGAATGATAATAAGAATGACAGGATGTATCACCACATTTGAATAAAGGAGTATGTGATGAAATGTATTATGTATGCTGAAGGTATGATGAGGTATGTATGACAGAATTTACTAAGGGGCATATATTGCCGGATTTAAGATGGTGAGTGTCAGTCAAACTACACAGGACAACACTGTCCAGCAGATCATCCCTCACTACATGACTGCTTGTCCAGCTGCTACCTACTGTAGCTGTGGAACCTGTACTGACAACCAACTGTGAATCATCTACCTTTTCACAGTCATCAACCTACGGCAATCATAGCCGGTTTAGTCTACCTATTCCCTTTGGAAGTCGTTGAACTATTTAGCATAATACATAATTTTAACAATCCAAACCCCCAAAAATTATAGGAGCTGTGTAAAACAAGGTATGTATGAAATGTATGTTGAGGTATGAATGATGATGTGTAATAAGGTATGGCAATAATGGAGAACAAGCGATAACAGATACTAAACAACACAGGGGGAAGTTGAATGATAGCACTAGGTCTTTCGTGTTGCAGACAATGCTTTTTCAAGACCTTTCAATAGTGGAAAGGAATTGGAAATAGCCCAAGTAAGTATATCCATTAGGATACACCTGCTTTGGTTCTTCTCAATTCCTGTGTACTACTGCAAGCTCCTGAAAATGTGTTGTCTGCGACTTGAAAGGCCTAGAGCTATCACTGTTGTTTTGCTTGAAATATGTAATATAACTATATGAACAACAATATGTAAGAAGCTATAAATTATGTGATTTGTATGAAAATATGTCTTTAACAATGCATGATAAAGAATATATATAGACACTGATAAAATGTATTATGTGGTATATATGAGAGTAAGACTGCGTATGACTTATGGTATGTGAGTGATGATATGTAAAAGTATGGTTGAAATTTTGTAGAACATGACATGGTATGTATGATTGGATATGAATTACTGTGTATGTATAGCTAAAATATTTGAGTAGGAATTATTACAGTATATATAATGAGGTATATACGAAGGTGTGTATGCTAGGGAAAGCAAAAGGAGATATGTATGAAATAAAATGTCAGACAGGAATGTATGGTATACATAAATAAAATAGTATGAATGATAAAGTGAATATGATGAGGATATGTATGACAGTCTATATGAGGATGTATATTTGACGAAATATAAGATACATTAACCAGACTCTGAAAGACAATGTATCTTTTGTCAGTATGTATGATGAAGTATTTTTAATGGTATATAAATTATGGTATGTATACTAGAGTATGAATAATGCAGTAATACCGATAAAGTATGTATTGTGGCATGTGTGACAGGATACTTGTTTCCTGACACAGGTCATAGTCGTAAGATAACTTGTCACTAGAGCTTATGGTACACTGACCGAAACCTTCCTCTGGCTTTCCGGTCCGCACTTAGAAAAATTAAGATTATTTTTCAATAAGGACTAGACTGCACACCTAATGCATCTGGAAGGATGTCCAAACACATCCTTTATCAAAACAAATGTTTTGCTAATATCATTCTTTATTAAAATACACTGGAACCTCAGTATACGACCTTAATTTATTCCAGATGGCTGATAGAGTGCCGCTCCGTTGAGTATCGAATAAATTCTTCCTAACAAATTTTCTGTTTGGTTGGCTGTTACCACTAATCGTCGTAGGCCCAATGGTGACTAATTTACACAATACAAAAAAAACAACAACAAAAAATGAGAAGAAACACGAAATAGTTTACAGTGAAGTTCTTGCATGTCGTATTTGGCTGAGTCGTATACCGAGGTTCCCGCTGTAACTTGAAAATACTCATGCTGTAATATCCCCTTAACACATCCTTTAATTAACAGAGTAAATTACACTCCATCCATAAGAAATCTAAGGAAATGTCGATGATGTTACTTGATGTTATACTTATGACGGGCAAAAGAAAAATTGAACTTGCGCAAGTTGATGATTGATGAGGATATTTGGAAAAGAGGTTGATCACGCTCTTGAGGATGAGAAAGACTTGATCATCGATACCATGCCTAACCCTTCTAGGGTAGGGTAGGTGCCTGAGCCCGAGCCTTTAGCTCATAAGACTGTCATTCCCATTTGCCCCCTTGGGGCGGGGATGGCAGACCAGAGAGGCCTAGCTTGTGGCTAGGCCTGGGGACAGTTGGTCCCAAAGATGAGGAGGTACTTGTGCCTCCTCCCATGGGAGACTTAGGTCTCAGACACTCCCTAAAGAGGGAGCCAAGGCCGGGCCACCACTTGGACAAGGCCCGGGCCGGGAGAATACCGGCTAATCTTTACCTAACCTAACCTAAAGACTTGATCCGAGGAAATGGAGTATTTTGAAATGTGAAATCTGAAATAAATTGTTGAATCTAATCTTTAACTAAATATATAGGAAATATATGTTGTTAGTAGTATGAGGTAGAAGGGAAGAACATGAGGTAGAACAAGGGAAGAACATGAGGTAGAAAAACAGAAGAACATGAGGTAGAACATGGGAAAAATATGAAGTAGAACATGGAAAGAACATAAGCAGAACATGAGAACATGAGGTAGAACAAAGAACATGGGATAGAACATGGAAAGAGCATTAGGTAGAACATGAGGTAGCACATGGAAAGAACATAAGGTAGAACATGAGGTAGAACAAAGAAAGAACATGAGGTACAACATGGGAAGAACATGAGGTAGAACATGGAAAGAACATCAGGTTGAACATGAGAACACGAAGTAGAACGGAAGAACAGGAAGAACATGGAAGAACATGAGGTAGAACAGGGGAAGAACATGAGGTAGGACATGGGAAGAGCATGAGGTAGGACATGGGAAGAGCATGATGTAGGACATGGGAAGAGCATGAGGTAGAACAGGGGAAGAACAGGTAGAACAAGGGAAGAATATGAGGTAGAACAATGGAAGAACATGAGGAAGAACATGGGAAGGACATGTGGTAGAACAGGGGAAGAACATAAGGTAGAACAAGGATAGAACATGAGGTAGAACAAAATAAGAACAAGAGGTAGAACATGGGAAGAACATGAACATGGGAAGAACATGAGGTAGAACACGGCAAGAACATGGGAAGTACATGAGGCAGGACACAGCAAGAACATGAGGTAGAACTTTGGAAGAACATGAAGTAGAACAAGGGAAGAACATGAGGTAGAACATAGGAACATGAAGTAGAACTTTGGAAGAACATGAAGTAGAACAAGGGAAGAACATGACGTAGAACAAGGGAAGAACACGAAGTAGAACATTGGAAGAACATGAAGTAGAACAAGGGAAGAACACGAAGTAGAACAAGGGAAGAACATGAGGTAGAATAAAGGAAGAACATGAAGTAGAACAAGGGAAGAACATGAGGTAGAATAAAGGAAGAACATGAAGTAGAACAAGGGAAGAACACGAAGTAGAACAAGGGAAGAACATGAGGTAGAATAAAGGAAGAACATGAAGTAGAACAAGGGAAGAACATGAGGTAGAATAAAGGAAGAACATGAAGTAGAACAAGGGAAGAACACGAAGTAGAACAAGGGAAGAACATGACGTAGAACAAGGGAAGAACACGAAGTAGAACAAGGGAAGAACACGAAGTAGAACAAGGGAAGAACATGACGTAGAACAAGGGAAGAACACGAAGTAGAACAAGGGAAGAACATGACGTAGAACAAGGGAAGAACACGAAGTAGAACAAGGGAAGAACACGAAGTAGAACAAGGGAAGAACATGAGGTAGAATAAAGGAAGAACATGAGGGAGGATACGAAGTAACTTCGTATCCTACCTTAGAGTTTTTCATTTAAGTTTGTTGTCTGGTGATAAAACACCTGAACACCAGGTATTAGCATTCGATAACACAGGTCTGCATTTGGAATGTGTTTAATTGTTATTTTTATTCTTGGTTGCGATCTTACATATTCTTGGTTGCGATCTTACATATTCTTGGTTGCGATCTTACATATTCTTGGTTGCGATCTTACATACTCTTGGTTGCTATCTTACATATTCTTGGTTGCGATCTTACATATTCTTGGTTGCGATCTTACATATTCTTGGTTGCGATCTTACATATTCTTGGTTGCGATCTTACATATTCTTGGTTGAGATCTTACATATTCTTGGTTGCGATCTTACATATTCTTGGTTGCTATCTTACATATTCTTGGTTGCTATCTTACATACTCTTGGTTGCGATCTTACATATTCTTGGTTACTATCTTACATACTCTTGGTTGCGATCTTACATATTCTTAGTTGCGATCTTACATATTCTTGGTTGCTATCTTACATATTCTTGGTTGCGATCTTACATATTCTTGGTTGCTATCTTACATATTCTTGGTTGTGATCTTACATATTCTTGGTTGCGATCTTACATACTCTTGGTTGATATCTTACAT